CAGAAACAACAGAAGAAAGTAAGACATACAGACAGAAACAACAGAGGAAAGTAAGAAATACAGACAGAAACAACAGAGGAAAAAAAGGAGAAGGATCTACCGGTGTCACCCTTCAACCACCCACTGTCATTTACGGCTAATTGTCAGCACAAAAATGAACCATTCCAATAGACACACATTGGTGCTAGACAACAGAAACGAAAAAAAAAAATTGGAGCGGACCACACCAGAAGGAGCAAATCAGATTAGTTTAGTTTTAGTAGAGGTTTTACGGCGCTCGCAACTGCATAAGGTCATATGAGTGCCAGAAGATTAGAGGTGTTACAAGAGAGTAACAAACATAAAAAAAGAAGGGGAGATAAGGACAAATGATGTTTGATAGGAAAGAAGGAGCAAACTACACCAGAGCACCCGCCAACCACCCACACAGACCAGGTTAGAAAACCTGCCACCCACCTACCCACCCAGAACCAAAAGACACGAGCCCACGTCACTCACAGTAGTCATCCATGAGCTCTGGGGCATCCAGCACTCTCTCGGGCTCGCGGGGGATGTGCCGAGACGCCGCCGCATGTCTGTTGGCAGACTTGGAGCAGCTGTACAGCACATGCAGGTTGTTCACGTCCGTCACTGGGACACATCAGAACAAGAGAGGTTGTTCAGTTTTAGTTTTTTAGTTTTAGTAGAGGTTGTACGGCGCTCGCAACTGCACAATATAAGGTCAAATGAGCGCCATGGGGCGGATGTCAACAGAGAAGCCCTAACAACGAATAAGACTTACTCTGCTCACCTCTCTAGCTTCAACAGAAAAAAGTCTGCTGCGACTATCAAGGCACCCCGGAAATAGCAGGTCATAAGAGTGTGACAAACAAAAGAAATAGAGGAAAAATGATGATAGTAAGGATTAGGAAAGAAAAAGCAGCAGTTCCCTGTTGCAGTTCAGGCACAGTTATGAGCGTGACATTGATGAATCAGCCCATTTACAATGACAATTCTACTGTGCGTAAGAATTTGAGATGTTAATGTCGCCCCTTTGGGAATGGCCAAAAGACACTTCAGTCAGTAGCGCTGCCCAGGGGGGTTGAGGTTGTTCAGTCACAAAAACATATTGGAGCAATTGTAACAGAAATTATTCACAGAAAGGTGTTTAAGTTCCTGTTCTAGAAATGTATTGTTCACAGAAAGATACCAGAGCAATTTTTACTGAAACTTGTTCACAGAAAGATTTTTTTTTTTAAAGACATCAGAACAATTATGAAATCAGGGCAACTAAAACAGAAATTGTAATTAGAAGGACATCAAAGCCTTAATACCAGAAATTTGTCAAAGGAGATATTAGAGCACCAACAACAAAAACTGATCAAAAAAGGTATCGGAGCAATCACAACAGAATCCGTTCTCATAGAAAGATATCAGAGAAATTATCAGAACAAGAAAGTGTCTTTTTCTCATATTGGAAAAACTGTCAAACCAGTATTTGCTTCCCTCGTGAGATAAGAAGGATGAAAACAGCCAAATAAGCTCCTATAAAAGCCCCCCCCCCTCTTTTTCATCCCCATCCATTCAAGTAGAAACAAAAGCAATACTCAAAACTAATGGTCAAATGAACACATTATCTTAACAAAATGTTTTAGTTAAGTTTTAGTAAGTTTTACGGCACTTGCAACACAATAAGGTCATATAAGTGCCGTCAGGACGATAGATGTTTGATAGGAAAGAAGGAGCAAACCGCACCAGAGCACCCGCCAACCACCCAACAAAATGTTCTAACCCCAAACGAAATATTTGAAAACAAAACTAGACAACTGCCAAATGCAAATATATATAATTAAACAAAGTTCAAAACTAACAAAACAAAAACAAATTTCCCCTAACTTCAGTCTCACTTTTAGGCTGAGGTGCTTTTGTCTTGAAGTTGAGAATCTTTCTCTCGCGGACATCCATGGCATCCTTCAGCTGTTCTTTATACTCGAAATTATCTCCATCCGGTCCTGCGGAGGATTGTGCGTCCTCCTCCTGTCTCTTCATCACAGCATAATGACCATACTCCATATCCGTCGATGAACGGTCCGGGATAAATCTGATTAACACAAAATTAAATTAAAATTAAAAACTGCTACTAAGCAAAAGCTACAAAGTTGTTGTTTTTTTCAGATACAGACCAGCAGCTTAGCCCATCATTCAGTCCTCAGAAAAAGAAAGACAGACAGAAGCAATAAAGATCATATAGGAATGAAATAGGACTCCTGTGTGGCTCCTAAGCACCATTTTTCAACTTTATACCAGTCGGAGAGAGGTTTCAGCCTACATCAATCTGTCTATTGTAGAGGAAGCTGCTACTGTTTGAAGAAACGAGAGCAAAAGTTTGAAAAAGCATAAAAATGGCATCAGTTAACTTGCGTTTGAAGAGAGGGCAATCAAGTTTTTAAAAAGCATGACAATGGCATCAGGACAACTGACCTGTCCCCCTGCATTCTGCTCGGAGTCTTCGCACTCGGGGTTTTCGCTTTCTTCCCACTTTTGGGAACATTGGAGAATCCGTCTGCCCCGATATTGCCAGGCGTTTTGGGTGTCTTGCCTTTGCCTGGGGTGGTCGTCGGGACAGACTTGCCAGGGGTCTTGCTCTTGCTCTTGAAAGGCGATGAGACACCTGAATTGAATATGTTTTATTTTAGCTTTGACCACAGAATGCAACTGATAAGTATATATGTTACATGAAAAAGCCATAGAAAAAGAAAAACGAAAGTCTGAATCCTGCATAAATATCATATTCTAGATCTAGATCTTAAGTAACCTTAAATATTTCCCTACTATGTACACAAACTTCAGATATGACACACTAAGAAACGTGTTGGGAACATAGTCACTTAAGATTTGCAGATTTTGGTTTTTGTCATTTTTTAAAATCCACTTCTGTTAGAATCAGCTGCTTTTCCTTATTAATTGAGAAGCCTTTCTGCTTCTTTTGCTCCGCCATGGTCCACTCTCATCTACAACTTCACCTTTAGCTAAACAGAAAGCCACCAAATTGTTGCGTAGTGTGTAATCTCTGTTGAAGAAGAAGTGCACTGACATATAATATAAGATAAACTTTTGGTCTAGCAAGGGTGATTATACTGCACTTAAACCATCCTGCAGAATGTCAGTCCTTTCTCCAAACCTGTAGCATTATGAATGACAGAATGTCAGCTCTCTTGTTTCCCTCTCTCTACTCTGTATTATGAACAGTACAATCTCTCTTCTACATAAGAAACAAATTTAACCAGCATTTAAGATATTGCAGACTGTATAATATTTTTTTTTCTTTTTTGTAATAAATGTGTAAACTGATTTCCCTTTCGTCTCTGTCCCTATTTTTGACCTTCTTTTCTCAATAAGTCTCTTAGTCTTTATTTCTTTCTACTCTCTCTGTATCAGTTTCTCTCTCAGTCTTATTCTGAGAAGACATTTGTAATATCAACTTTCGCCTAGCTTTTAGGTTTAACTCTTTGAGGTAATCCCATTGTGCCGGGGCCCTCTTTTGGTATGAAATCTGAAAATGACAAATAACATTACTAAATAGGTCATTAAATTTAAATAAATGAACCTATTTTGATAGTTTTTCGTTTAATTAATTAACTCCCAGTAAAAGTGACCTATTTTCTGCAATTGCCGAAAAGTAATTTGATGTCGAAGGGATCATAAAGGAATGCTTCCAAGCCGCTGTCACCGTAGTTTAAAAATTCAGAGTTAGAATTATTGATAAATATTTCGAATAGAACATTTGTAATTTTAAAAGCAAAATGACAAAGGGCCAACCTCCATCACTTGCATGGACCCTGAGCAAAGTCTCTGGGGGTGCTTTCCGCTGCCACCTCATCAAAGGACCACTTTGAAGGGGACCATCCATTTTAACGATTTCCTTGATATCCTTGGAGAAATTGAAATGAGCCATTTTCTATTTCGAAAAAGAAGAGAGGAAAAAATAGAGAAATTAATCTCAGAAGTGATTGATAATGGCTTGACGGACAATCTTTAAAAGGAAGTAAAAAATTTCGCTCTTTCTACTCTCTGCTTTCAAATATTCTAGATTCATATATTTTTTTTGTTTTTTTGCAAAATGTTCCAAATAATTGTCCCTGGTCATCCCAACAGCAAACGATGTGTCATGTGTCTCACCCTACGATACAAGGTTCAGTACACTGCAGCCCTTATCTTCTCTTCACCAAATAAACCCTAAAAACAGACACTGTACTGTACTACAGGTAATAGGACTACTATAAATCATGTTATGTCTTGAGTAAGTCTCGTCTCAAGAGTAGCCTACCATCTCAGTCAGACAACCTCAAAACCCACCAACCACAAAACATTACGATAGAAAGAATCTAGTAGATCCAGTCCAGACCTAGATCCACCTTTTACAGCCAAGACAGTATTATTATTAGAATCTAAATCATTGATTGCATGAACATGAGACAGAGACACCAACAGACAACAGTGACCAGATTGGTCCACTTTTCTTCCCATTTTGGCCTACGCTAATTGGAAGGACTTCCATAAGGAGCCACCCCCCAACAAACACAATAAAAGACAGCATTCTTCCCCTACCCCTTGCCTCAGTGCCCTCAGCCCTAACCCTCTATATTTCATACAGACTAGATAGTGTTGGGCATTAATCGATATTAGCTAGTATCGGGTAGTATCGTGTACCCACATTCCCAGTATCGATCGATACTCGATATCGATACTGTGACGTCACAAAAGGCTAAAAAAATAGCGCTCACTGCTCGCCGTATTGTTTCCTTGAAGCGCTTTAGTAAATGAAAGGTCAAAGGTCACGGTGTCAGTCATTCGGCTTACCAGGCCCTACTGCCTGTGTACCCAGTTGTAAGATGCGATCTTTTTTTTGTTATTATTATTTTTGTTTATTGTTTTGGGGTTTTTTTTTTTTTTTAAAATGCAAATCATTTTGACTATCTTGTCATCGAGAAGTTTCTTCTTGAAGTGTGAAGGCGGGTAGGGCTCTGAACGGGTGCAATCTGATAGCTTCATCTGCTTTGCAGGTCCTGCACTACAACTACCGCTGCTGCTACCACCCTTCTCCATGTCAAGTGCAGCATTTTTGCTTGGATGTTTGGCATGGAGATGTTTCATGAGATTTGTGCTGTTCCCATGATGCTTTAATATGTCGTGACAAACAAGGCACCTGGCCTCTTTGTTTCCTGGAAGCTCTTCAAAATGCGTCCAAACAGTGCTCTTCTTCTTTCTCAACATGACTAAGCCTATTTAGAAACAAAAGACGGGTGATCGTAGACAGCACGTTTCTCTCCGATATCACGCAGATTAGGCGGCAAACACTACACTCATTACACTGATCAGTATCGACTAAGAGACTCTGCGATATCGAGTATCGACTAAGAAAACCAGTATCGATGAGTACCCGATATCGATATCGACTAAAGCCCAACACTAAGACTAGATCTAAATCTAGATATACTCTATTCATTTCACAGTAGTCGCTCGTTATAGAATAGTGCGGGGTGCCCACCACGGATGGGATCGGCCGATCGCCCAACTCAGTCACCTCAAAAACAAACATGTTTGTTTTCAGTTTCAGGTGACCAAGTCAGGCGATCAGCCCGATCCAGCCGTAGTGGGCACCCCGTGTTATAGTTACTTGAGTTACGGCTAATCCGTTCTCCTTGGCCTAGAGTCTAGATCTAGTAGTTAAGTAGAGGCCTACACAAAACCAACTTAACCAAAAGCAATTTTAACGCTAATAAAAATCTATGATTTAATAGCCAGTTGGATATAATCCGAAAAGGAAGGACTTGCTCTTTTTTTTTTTTGGTAGAGGTTTTACAGCGCTCGCAACTCACTGCATAAGGTCATATGAGCTCCAGACGATTAGAGGTGACATGCAGATAACTTTAGAATGACAGATGTACGCCATTGGCCGATATTTACAGTAACAATCATCTTGTTTGACGTCATTGAGAGATTCCCACTTTGTTGTCGCTCACGGTGGCAACACGAATGCACTATTGCAGTATTTTTAAAGCCTGTAGCCTACAGTGGTGTGGTGGCAGAGGGGTTAGTGTGCTTGTCTCCAAAGCAGACAGTCCAGATTTGAGCCTCGGTTCAACCACAGATTTTTTGGCCCACCCGCCACCTGTAATGGGTACCTGACTTCGAGTTGGGAGGTAACAGACTAATTTTGTAAAGGAAAAGGCTAGCCGTATCCAATGATGGCTAGACAGCTACGCTAGCTGTACTTAATGACGGCTAGACTGCTAGGCTAGCCGTACTTCTAAACTGCTGGGTAGCCGTACTTATATGATGGCTAGACTGACCACAAAAAAAAGGTAATTGTAAATAAATTTTTAGTTTGCAGTACCTAAAGCATTTGTATTTGAGACAAAACCAGGTGCCTTACTGACAATGCATGTATTTTAAACCTAAATAATTACTAATGAGACTAGTTTTCTAATGTTAACAGGTCCTAAGATAAGTATGGCCAGACTGGTAAGCTAGCCGCACCTAGACCTCTAGGTACGGCTAAACG